CTTTCTTTCTTTCTTTCTTTCTGCCATAGGGCACATGCACTCACTGGAGAGAGAGACAGAGAGATTGAATATGATAAATCACCCTTTCAGCATAGGATGGCCATGTTGTAATCTCTCCTCCATTCTCCTCCCAGAATTTTTTTGGTCCTACATGCATGTGAGCCTAGTGTGAGTTTCAAGCCACCAGGTCTGGGATTCAAATTGTGGTTGGCCATGTGGAAGTCCAGTGCCTTAACCACTATGACACCCAATGGCCCCTGGGGATGGCTTGTTTTAGAGGTGGAGAGATCTTCATGAACTCATAAACTCACCCACCAGGGGCTGTTACCTACTCTCTCTGCCCATCTAGGGAGCCTCCAGGTCTATGCAACAAAATCCATATTCCACTGTTTTAGGAGCTTAAGTGCATCTACATTTGAAGAATTGGTAATGCACTTGTGCATCTAGAAAAACATTTCATCCATAGTTTTAACCCTTTATTTACTTCTATGATTCTACAACTCTATCCGTATGTTTCCTGACACAGGACGTTCACAATACAAATAGCATATCAAATCAAGCACATTGAAATCATTCCCATAGATTATGTGTAATAGTATCATCAGGAACAATCGATCCCACTGGCATAGCACTACCACAGCACTGCGAGCACCTCACACAAATGAAGAGGGGAAACAATGACAACTAGATTGGAAAGGACCGAGGGTTGACTCCATTTATAACACTGCCTGGTTTCGATGGTGCTGATGATCTGTTTCTCCCTCCAGGATTTCAGGCAAACAAATTGCTAGCACCTGGGAAGATCGTTTCTAGTAGGAGAATGGGGCCAGCTCCTGCAAAGCCTGAGAGGATGCACTCTCTCTGTCACTGCCAGGGCTGAGACTAGGTGTGGAGGTGTGATGTTGTGACTGTGTGTGTGTGTGTGTGTGTGTGTGTAAGAGAGAGAGAGAGAATAGGTCGAGGAGGTGACTCCAAGGACAAGAGTGTTTTTGTGGTATAGGCATATATTCTCCTGTCAGTTGATTGTTTATCACAGAACAAAGAAGCTTCTTGCTTTCTGATTTAGATTTTGGCTTCATGAAAAAATACGACTAATACCAAAGGAACCTCAGATGTCCTATAGTGCAGTTTATCCGATGTAGAAACCCTACAGAGGTCTGTTTGAATTTCTCCTCTCAGCTAACTTCTTCCTGATCTGAGAGTTCAGCTCTTGCACTGACAGAAGCAGCCTGGGAATCACGGCTGAAGTGCTTCAGCAGCTGATACCACGGAGACAAAACCCTTGGAAGGCAGAGCACTGTGAGGAGAGTGGGGCTGGGGTTAGGCATCTGACTCTGCCGTAAACAGCTGGCGGATCCCAGACCAATCTTTTCTCCTCTGGGGTCTCAGTTTCCCTTCTGTAAGTGAACCTGGGATAGCTAAGGTTCCTCCCAGACCTAGAATTGTATAAAGCTAAAGAAAATGAGAATACTCTAGAATTCTGCTTTTCTTAGATTAAAGAGACATGCTCATCATCTTCTATTTATATAATCAGAGAACCCTTACTACTAATTTACTTTCAGAGAGCAAGTAGTTAACTCTCTAAAAGAGGCACAATCAACTGGCACTGGTCCTAAACAAGCACTCAAGAATCTCTATGAAAAGTGGTAGGGTTTTTTTTGTTTTTGTTTTTGTTTTTTTAAAGGACAAAGGTACAAAGCTATTGAATCCTTTGGATAAAGATTCTACTTACGGGAACCAGCAGTTAGCGTAATGGCTATGTCGCTGGACTCCCACGTAGTCCACCACGGTTCATGTCCCGGACCCGGTGGCTTAAAACTCACGCCGGGCGCATGTGCGTGCGAGCCCAAGATCCCGAGAGGAGAATGGAGAAGGGATTGCGGCGTGACCATTCCCCCTGGGGGGGTGATTTCTCGCTTTCTTTCTCTATGTCTCTCTCTGTCTGTCTGGCGAGCGCACGCGCCCTACAGTGAAAATCTCTCCAAAAAAAAAAAAAAAAAAAAAAAGATTCTACTTAGAATTTAGAGTCAATTTTATGTTCCTGCGTTTTTCTTTTTTCTTCTTCCCTTTCTGTTTTATTGCAGTCATGAAAACAAAACCAGGGTTCTTGTAAATTTTTCTTCTGTTTTTGGGACCAGCAGTTAGCATAATGGCTATGTCTCTGGACTCCCATGTAGTCAAGGGCAGTTTGTGTCCCGGACCCGGTGACTTAAAACTCATGCCGGCACATGTGCGTGCATGCCCAAGATCCTGAGAGCAGAATGAAGGAGAAGGGATTATGGCATGGCCATCCCCCCTGAGGGGTGATTTCTCGCTTTCTGTCTCTCTGTCTCTGTCTGTCTGGCGAGCGCATGTGCCTTATAGCAAAAAAAACCTCTCCAAAAAAATTTTTTTTCTTTTGTTTTGATTATATGCATGGTCTATATTTTAAAATTTCACAGCTCTTAGAGTCATTTAGATACCAAGTTTAGCTTTTTATTATTTTTTTAAGCATTTATGTATTTATTTATCTATTTATTTGTTGCGATTTTCAAGCTGCCAGGTCTGGGACATAAACTACAGTCAGCCATGGAATTCCAGCACTGTAAACCACACTACCTGCTGGCCCCTGAGGTGCGCATTTAAGATACCAAATAAAAATGAATAATTGAATGTTTAGAAACCAAATACCCATATTTGTATACTGTAGAGAGTTTTTTAGGCATAATTTCTCATAAAGTGTCACTTTTTTGAGTCTCATTAAAAAGAGTTTTCCTTCTTTCATTACAATTTCCATTACTATATTACTTTATGCCTTCACCTCTTCTGTGTTATACTTTCATTTATCATTTCAGAGACTAAAGATTTAAATCGGATTGACATTACAGTCAAAAAGCATATTAGTTTTACATAGTGTCAGATCCTTTCATTTAAATTCTAATCTCCCACAACTTAATTAAGAGCTACTACCAATATGTTTTCAGCAAATTTCTTCTAATACAATAATACCACTTTTTTTTTTTTTTTTGAGAGATTTTCACTTTAGGGTACGTGCGCTCGCCAGACAGACAGAGAGAGACATAGAGACAAAAAGCGAGAAATCACCCCCCAGGGGGGATGGTCACGCCGCAATCCCTTCTCCTCCATTCTCCTTTCGGGATCTTGGGCACGCACGCACACGCGCCCGGCGTGAGTTTTAAGCCACTGGGTCCGGGACACGAACCGTGGTCGACTACGTGGGAGTCCAGCGACATAGCCATTACGCTAACTGCTGGTTCCCAATAATATCACTTTTAAAAGAATTATTTAATTTTATTTATTCATTCATTTAGTTTTAATTTGACCAGAGACAGACACACGGAGAGACAGAGAGAAAGTAAGAAAGCAAGCCACCAGGTCTGGAACTCAAACTGTGGTCAGCCATGTGGGAGTGTCCAGCTTTTTAACTACCATGTCGTCTGCTGGTCCTCCAATAATACCATTTTCATAAATTTTATTTTTTCATGAGATACCAACAATTTGGTAATTTTGCCTTGCAGTTTTAGTTTATATAGCCATTTCAATTGTACTGATTTATCTCTGTCCGATTAACTAAACTGGCTTTTCCCAATTTGCTACCCAAGATGAAAACATTTCAAGAGTAAATAATATTTTGTATCATGAGGATCACCACTAAATCACAAGTAAGGAGAAGAGAAATAGCCACAATGGGATTGTGAAGGTTTCATTGTCTTGGTGATGTCACCAAAAGACATGCTCTAGGGTGGGCCTCAACATTTCCTTCACAGTTTATAATGAAGGGTATGAAAACACTCTTCTGAAATGCGGTTTGCCAAATGTGGAAGGTTCACTGTTTGACTATGGTTTTGCTTCTTAATCTCAGGGCTTCTGAGCTACTGAAATTCCCTGAAACAGGAAGGGATGCTGTGCCTGTTAGACCAGCCAGCCGATTAAGGCCCTTGAGAAGCCATTACCTTCTACTGTAGTATCCTGCTCCCATTGCCCCTGCTGTGCCTACCTACCATGCAAAGGAGAAGCAGCAGAAACCAAGAAGTTCAATTCAAGTGCATGGTTTAGTATCAGTAACACATACCTTGAGCCAGAAAAAGAAAGTAAAATTTCAGGTATGGAGGATATGACCTCAGGTGGGAGTCAGATCAGATTCTGGGGCCAGTGTGGGGAGTAGAGAATATGAGGACAGACATAGTTCTTCCATACAGTGCCAGAGTCATTTTGGCCATTAACTAGGCCCCACCTTTCCTTCCTATTTAGTGTTTCTATTATTTTGAAAAGTATATAGTTTTGATGAAGTTTGGAAGTTATCTAAGAGACTTCGCTAGGAAAGGAGCATGTTATGGTTGAGTGTGATGGATCTTACTCAAGAGGTAAGTGCGGTGATAAAAGGTAAGAAGGCATTCTGACTTCAATCTTTTTTTCTTTTCTTTCCTAGTCAATTAAAAAGTTTTGCCAAGCAAGGAACAATTAACTTTTATGGTCTGAGAAACAACTGGTAACAAGATGCCAACAGAACAAAGTCTTTTCACCAAAACTTGTTAGAAAAACATGTAATTATTTAAAAGAAAACTGCTGACTACAAATCAATCCACTGAAGTGAATGCAATCAATACCAGGAAGGTTGTGAAGATGATGCTGGCCTATTTTTTTTTTCTCATACTGATGGTGAAAAAATGTCCAGGGCTTTGATATATGTGTTTCATTTAAGGTTTATCAGAAATAAAAATATTTCCCTCATTATTTTTACTGAAACCTAAGCTAAGAACTTTACTCCAAATCATGATGGTGTCGAAGAATAACCTGATAAAAAGCAGAAGCCATCAACTATTTTAACCTAACGACATTTCAAAAATGTTTTCAAAATGGTTAACCTCAAAGGTCTTGACGGTGTACTGAAAAGCCGGAGTGAATCAGAACACCTGCTCCATCCGCAGGCATTGCCTTTATTTCCACAAGCTGGCTTAGCACACAGTGCAGATCAGAGTGAGAAATGTCCCATGGCCTACCTGACATAGAGGGAGCGTTTCTGATTGGTTCGCAGGGACCCGGACCCGGAGCTCATGCTGTGGTTCATCATCTGCTCCCGTAGGTCATGGATTTTGGCCTCAAATCGAGCGTAATCTGGGAATGGAAACAAAGGCGGCAAGTTTGGTTCCGTGTCTTCTGAGAGTTAAAAAATGCTGCACAGCCAAAGTAGTTTTTGGTTCCTTTGCCAGACAACAGGGAGATGCACGACTCAGGAAAGGAAGGCTTGCTTACTGTTACTTATTCACAGACATTCACAAGGAAAAAAGAAGAAATCAGTTCACAAAGTTACCTAAGAAACACTGTCATCAAATCCCCAATTTTGCTATGTTTTTTGGAGAAAGGAGAATGGGGAGGGAGGGTGATTGTAAACAGGCGATGTGAAGAATCCCTGTGGTGATGGAAACGACCTCTGTCTTGACTGTGGTGGTGGATATACTTGTGATAAAATTACTTAGAACTACACACACACACACACACACACACACACACGCACAAGTGAAACTGGGAAAATCTGCCTAAGATTGATGACTTGCGGCAATGTCAAAATCCTGGTTGTGATAACAAACCATAGCTTTGCCAAATGTTACAGCTGGGGAAAATGAACCAAGAGTACATGGGGTCTCCCTCTCTTCTTCCTTACAACTGCATGTGAATCTACAATTATCTCAAATAATAAAAATAATGAGAAGGAAAAAAAGTCTATTAAATTCTCAATGTTGTGAGTTGTTAAAAGAAAGTATTCAGTTAACCGCAGTCTGACAAACCAAATAAATCAAGTGTTTGGTGATAAATTTTGTAAGAAATGCCATTTAATTTAAAAAATTGTTTTCTGGAGAGGGCTACCAGAAGCTGACCACTGAAGATCATGCCTTGACTCTATTTCATAACTTTGTCCTGATGCTGGATGTCATCAATTCAAAGATGTACAATATATTTAAATCGGCTTATTAAAAGGTTAGGGTTAAAGTGGAGATAGAAACTATCATATTAACTATATTTTAGAAACATTCAAACTTGAAAAAAAAAGAATCTAAAAAAATAGTCAAAAAAACCTAGAAAATAGAGATATTAAGTCATTAATGTTATTTCTTTTCTTTTTTTGTAGAGGTTTTTGCTATAGGGTGCATGCGCTCTCCAGAAAATGAGAAACAGAGACAGAAAGTGAGAAATCACCCCCCCCAGGGGGGGTGGCCATGCCACAATCCCTTCTCCTCCATTCTCCTCTCGGGATCTTGGGCATGCACGCACACGCACCCGATGTGAGTTTAAGCCACCGGGTCCAGGACTCGAACCGTGGTCGACTACATGGGAGTCCAGTGACACAGCCATTATGCTAACTGCTGGTCCCTAAGTCATGTTATTTCTTCATGGGAAAAATATTTTTGCCATGTCAATATAACAGAACATTTGAATGCATGAATAGTTTTAAAGTTATTTATTAATGGAATCAGCACATAAAAAGAAACATCTTTATCATCTCCTTGGCAGAAGACCATTTCGCTTTAGGAAAATCCAATAGCTAAGAGGCTTAACTTACCCGCACATTCTTTAAAAACATAAACTTGAATTATAAGTGGTTCTTTTAATTACAAAGAAACTCACCATAAGGAATTTTAAAAGTCTTTAGTACATTAAAAAAAAAAAAATTTGATTTTCAATTTAATCACAACTTTTTATGAAAACAAGAATGACTAAATGCATATAACAAAATATGATTTACCCTCAGAGTACTTCAAATTCTTTATAATAAAAAGTTTCATAATGGGGCTAGCAGGTGGCGTGGTGGTTGAGGTGTTGGACTCCCACATGGCTGATAGTGGTTCAAGTGTTGGACCTGGCAGCTTGCTTTCTCACTTTGTCTCTCTCTCTGGTGAGTACATGTGCCCAACAGCAAATTTAAAATAATAATTATAATAAAGTTAAATAAAAATGTTAAATAAAACTACATTTAATTTCAATTTACTGAATGTCTATTGGCTATTGTAGATTGGATTTTCCTAAATTCTTTTATCTTGGTTTTCAAAAATAGAGGACAGATGAACTCTGAATATTAAATATCTCTAAGATTTAGAACTCTAAAGACAAAGCCATAGCATTTGCCTGGAAATTTCTGGTACTTAGGCAAAGTCTGGTATATTCTAGGTTTAGAAGGTTTCTTGTGAAAACTTATCTTTGTGTAATAAAATCCTAAATGGTTAAATAAGTAAACACCTATTTAATCATACATTTAGCCTAAAAATGAATTAAAGGTAATTTAAGATAATTTATTTCATCCCATTTTACTAGAGTGAGAAAACACTTATTTGTAACCATCGACAGGATACTGCATGCAGATTTAAATCATTCTGAGTAAGTCATATTTTCTCGCCACCCTCAGAGAGGTGATTAACATTTATTGTTGGCCACATGGCAGATGCTCCGCTCAGTGCTTCACGGGTTTTATCTCATTTTATTTTTTAGCTATAAAATAAAGTCCATGGATGTTATAAAAATTTGAACTGTATAGAAAAACAATAAAAACAGAGAGAGACCCTCTTGTCTCTTTTACCTTTCCCTACCTTTTCTTTTAGCACTGCCTGTCCCTACCGCTTACCCTAGAGGTACATGTGTGGTTGTGTGCTGAATATATTTCAGTGTGTTTGTGAGTGTATGTGTATGCAGTGTGTGCACACACACAGAGAGAGCCTACACCTGTATATTGTGCTATAATTTTTTCTCCTTTTCAACAGTGCAATCTGTATCATCTACCTTCCACCAAATACATAAATACCATTTTCTTAAGACCCTTAGTTGTATTCCAGAGTTTAGACTAGTTTAACAATTCCCTTATTATTAGATAGTCAGGCTTGTTTGTTTTTTTCCTTTACAAGATGGGATCTCTGCCTATATGTTCACATGTATGGAAGGGTAGTGAGGCCCTGGGATTGGAAGTGCTGGAGAAAAACCAGGAAGTGCTAGCACAAAAACCAGGCTGCAACCATTAGGATTACTCAGAGCAGAAAATGATCTGGTCTGGGATGCAGGATAGGAACTCTTAGCTGCTCCTGATCCATTCTCCATGTGACTCCTTGCTACATACCACATATTACCCTTGAGCACCACTAAATATTCCATCTGGAAAGATGGGACTCTCTCCTTTACAACTCTGATGACTTCCCTACCTGTGATAAAAGTGTGAAATCCCATCCTCCATGCCTCCTCCCCATGTGAGCACTTTCCTACTTCACTGTGCTTATCACACCAACTTGCAGTTACTTGCACATGAGGTGAGCTCGGAGGGACATGCCACGTCTCACTCTCTGGGGAACTCCCTGCTCCAAACATACTGTGGAACATACAGGAGACAATTAATACTAGGTGCTCAAAACACTTTCTGAAGGAATAATGAATGAGGGTGTGAGCAGCATCATTGGATTAATTCAGTTATAAAGTGGGTGTAGGTATTGAAATAGCTCATGTTCAATGTATGTTTTGAAATGAAGAAGATGACATGCATCTATCTCCTTCAATACTATTCTTTCAAGACAAAATATTTTAATTTCAAGGCTTTATTTATTTATTTATTTATTTTTGAGAGGTTTTTGCTATAGGGCGTGTGCATTCGCCAGAAAGACAGAGAAAGAGAGACAGAAAGTGAGAAATCACCCTCCAGGGTGGAGGGCCATGTTGCAATCCCTTCTTCTCTTGGGATCTTGGGTACGCACGCACATGCGCCTGGCCTGAGTTTAAGCTACTGGTTCCAGGACTTGAACCACAGTCGACTACATGGGAGTCGAACGACATAGCCATTATGCCAACTGCTGGTCCCTCAAGGCTTTATTTTTGTCTAATCATTGCCACTTCCCACTTTCTCTGTTCCTTCCATGGTTTTCCAGGTGACCTCTGAACTCTCAGTCATGTCATATATGTTGGCAATAGTTCTGATAGTCTATGTACAATCAGTATTTTGTGAGGCTCATTCTCACATTTTACCTCAGGTTGTTGGAAAAGTCAATGCATTTTTGCACAGAAAAACATTAAAAAATTCATGACTTTTCCAACAGCCCAATGTATTACTACAACATACTTGCCTTAACCAAAAATTTTATTGGCTGCCTTACTGTATAGCTCGTTAGATACCCAAAATATTTTGTCAAACTTTTGAAATGTCTTATCTATACCATGTTTTTCGGTATTTAAATACCCCACTGTAGATAAGTTATATTGCATTTGCCTTAACTAGAACCCATCATGTCCTCAATTTCTCCACTTTGACAATAATCTTAACCACACATCCTATGTTCAGAAGTGTTTATCTCTCTCTTTGTGCCTTTTGGAAAAACTAAAACTTAGATATAAGTAATTGCATCAGAGCAAAATCAATAAGGTCTGGGCTTACAAATATAAATGATGTATTTGTATGACAGGCGCGTGTCTGTGTATTGGCTGGGAAGGAACTCTGCCTCCAACTTTCCAGAGAGAAACAAATTTACATTAAGAAAGGCTTGAGAAATAAACAAGAAATAAGCCAATAAGCTATACAAAATAAGTCCCCTTTATGTTTTATAAAAGTACTGAAAACTACATTTTTCAGCAAGTTAAAATACAAAAACCTACTTTTATCCACTTATTATTCTTTTCTCTCTTCCCCAAATGTTTTACTCATGTCTATGGCCTCCCCTTTGAGACATTTTCCAAACAAATTCCCAAAACTCTGAATTGAGAATATCTTTTTTTAAAAGAAATATTTATTTTACTTACTACTGTTTTTTAAAAGTTGACCAGAGAGAGAGAAAGGGAAAGTGGCAAAGCAAGCTGCCTGATCTGGGACTCAAACTGTGGTCACCCATGTAAGAGTCCAGCGCCCTAACCACTATGCAACCTGCTGACCCTGAGAATATGATCTTAAAGACAAGGAAATAGAGGCTCAGTGTGGTTAATTACTACACCAAAGTCACAGAGCTGCCAGGTTACAGAGCTCATTGGACAGGAAGCTTGTTTCCTACTCTGGATCTTTGTGAAGTCATTTTGTTTCCACTGCATCACAAACACCTATGACAGCATCACAGTTGTGCTGTAGAATGTGAGGCCTCCTCACTTCTCTAGCTGCCTCT